TTTAAGGGAGTAGACTATGATTTTCCACTGATACTGAGGATACTGAGTTAACCATGATCTTCAAAGCCAGCCTAACTGGTATAGGAATTGGACATAAATCTTCATCTGCCTTTAGGGTTTGGCTCTACTACTACACAGAAACAGTGCCTTAGTTTGTCACTTATGTAACTTGTTTCTACTGATATTTATTCTTTTGTTTTCAGGTGCATCAGAGAAAAGCCGGCAGCTGTTGACAGTTCTTCGGTGGAAAAGTAAGTTGCATACTTACACAAGCTGCCCTAATGATCATCAAGCCCAAGTTATGTTTTACAAATACAGGTTTAAAGATACACTAAAGAAACCATACAGACACCCCCAACAGTATAAAAATTTGACAGTGAAGTTTAAGGATGTAGGAAAGTCAAATATGACAACACACATGAATAATTTATAAAATAAGCCTTTCAATCCTAGAAAACTAAAATGGGAAGACCTCAGGAATGGTGACGAACATAAAGTGAGAGCTAATAGCAAATGAAACAACCCCAAACATTTTCCCAATGACTAAGCTACATTCTTAAGCTACAGAATGTGATTTAATATAATTAAATTGCATATGTTTTATTTTTTTGTCTTTTTGTTTTATGAGCAGCTGTATCATTCACTACTGGAATTTTAAAGAACGATAATTGTCAAAGAACGTTAAGCCCTTGTATGTTCTTTCATATTCAAGTAGAGAGAAAGCATTTCTAGTGGAGGTTGCAATCCATATTTTTTGCAAACCATATGCTAACCCTGAGAAGCCCTTAATGAATAGTAGCCCTTTCTGTTCCCTGGTTTCTGAATAGACTGAATGGTGATAATAGCTAACATTTTTACAGTTTTTGTAATGTACCAGATGAGAGTCTAAGTTACACTCTTCTTTATTCCTCAGAACTGTATGAGGTGACTGGAATTTTATTCTCATTTTATAGATTAGGAAAGTGAGGAAGAAAGAAGTGAAATAAGTCAGCCAAGATCATATATCCGGTAAGCAGCGGGGCTCTGATTTGAATCTAAGTTATTAGGCTTCAAAGGTTATTTCTTTTTCTTTCTTCCTTTTTGTTTTGTTTGTAGTGTTGTGATTATTTCTGCCTTTAGACTGCACTTCAGATATCAAATCAATTTATACATGAAGAAAGTGTTCACAGAGCTGAGATTCAAATCCAGGCAGTCTGATTCAGAAGCCAGGCTCTGAACCACTGCTTTGTACTGTGTCTTATTTCTATATCTATATCTATGCTTGTATATACCTATCAGTCTATATTTACATAGCATATATATGGATATATGAGCTTAATTTGCATAGCATGCAAAACACAGTTATTGTATTTCAGAGAAAATATTTATGTACCTTATAACTTACATTTTCCCAAAAACTAGCTCATCAGGCCTAATGGAGACTGATACGTGGAGCTCATCTTATTTGCGGGGCCTGTGTATGGGATTGGTTCCTTTGCTGTGAACTAGAGACAACTTACTGTGGCCATCTGGGACTGAAAACCAAGGGAGGTCCCTTTTTCCCAAGCAGAAACAGAGAACCTTATGAAACACCATAGTCAACGATGCAGCACTTTAGGGAGTCAAGTGAGAGTTTTGCCTCTAAGAATCTGTGGAACTGAACACAGCATTCTTCTGTCTTATCACCCATGGCAATTGGTCTTTCATGGGTTGGGATTTGTGGTGACAAGAAAGGTGGTATGGACCATGGACAAAGTTATTCAACTTGCCTAAGCTTAAATTTCCCCCTGTATAATTTAGGAATAGGAACTAAACTACTGTTTGTAATAAGTTTCTGGTAAGTAGTAAGTCCCCAGTGAAAACACAAATTACCACAAATTAAAAATTATCATAATCACTATCACCAGTCAAGTGATCTTTCTTGAGAGGAAGGAGAAAGTACAAACTGTAAGTTAGAGTAGAACAGGAGCATAATCTGAAGATGATCTTGAGGAAACATGCCCTGGGGATGTAAAATTAAAGAACAAGAAGCACAGAGAATGGAAGGGAGACCAAGGACACTGTTCATCCTATACCTACAGTTAAAAGAATCTGGAGACAGATGCTGAGATTTGAAGAACTACTTTCATTTTTAAATTCAGCATTTTGGGAAAGTCTCAGGATTTGAAAAGCTACTTTCATTTTTAAATACAGCATTTTTTGGAAAGGCTCTAGAGTGACATTTCTCTAGAACTATAAAAAAAATTCTTAAGGGGCTTCCCTGGTGGCGCAGTGGTTGAGAGTCCGCCTGCCGATGCAGGAGACACGGGTTTGTGCCCCGGTCCAGGAAGATCCCATATGCCGTGGAGTGGCTGGGCCCGTGAGCCATGGCCGCTGAGCCTGCGCGTCCGGAGCCTGTGCTCCACAGCGGGAGAGGCCACAACAGTGAGAGGCCCGTGTACTGCTAAAAAAAAAAAAAAAAAAATAGAATACAAGTAATGATATGTAATAGGAAGAAAAATAAAGTAGGCTAAGGATATAAAGTCACTGGAAATTCTGCTTCAGATAATGTGGCAACAAGCTGACATTTGAACATGAACTTGAATTAAGTCTGAGAGCCAGTTATGCAAATATCTGGGGAAGAATATTCCAGATGAAGGACACATCAAGGGCAAAGATCTTGAGATGGATTGATAATTGGCATGTTTGATAAACAGCGAGGTGTCCACTGTATTCTAAGCATGGGAGAGAAACAAGGGATTGATAGAGAAGTAGTCAGGAGCCAAACATATAGAGCTATTTAGGCAAAGATAAAGAGTTTGAATTTTATTCTAAATATGGGGGAATTTGGAGTAGAATAATAAGATGACCTGAGTCAAAATAAAAAAAATAGTCACTCTGTATTCTCTAGAAAGAATAGTCTAAGGGAGGAAGATTTATTCAGGGAGACTAGTTAGGAAGTGATTGTAGTAGTTTACATGAAAGATGAATGATTTTATGCCCTAGAACTTGTGACCTGTTCTTTCAGTACTCCTTCCATGTATTAGTTTTATGCCTGTTTTGAAATCAAACTCTATTCCTTTCTATATATTTTTCAGATAATCATACAGTTTTTTCACTTAGATGTAAGAGGGCCAATTGAAACACTGGGTCAGGAAAACATATATAACCTAAATGTGATTTGACACCTGCAATAAGTCTCTTGATGGTTTCTCTTATTACTTGCCAAAACTTTCCCCAATTACTACTTTGCATTTTCTTCATAAGACTCAGCATCATCTTCTGTCATCTCTGGACCAGCTGTTCTGATTGTGAAACTTCAAATAGTTTCTCTAATCACCAACCTCCCATGACTGTGTTTTAAGTTCTGAAAACAACCTGGGATAAATTTAGAAATCAAGAACAAAGCACATATGAGATTCAAGATTTAACAGCTTGTGCCTTTTAATGGCATCTGTCATCATGTATTTGAAAAACTATTTATCACCACAATTGCCTACTGTACTGTTTTGAAATGGTGGCCTTTTTATCTTCTTCACCCAAATATTTCATGTAAGCAAAATCACTAGGATGAGAATAGGAATATCATATTTGATAAATAACCAATTTCTGTGTGCATTGGACAAACTTAAAGGTTTCTGCATCAGATAGATAAAAGTAAACATGAGATTTCCTCGAAGATTTTAAAATATTTATATCCAACATTACCAGGTCACATATCAAGTTAGACTTTTTTCAGCTTCACACAAGCATGGACAACGTGTGATATAGCAGAACAGAGTGGCTCATAAGAGTAAGAAGGCTCATATTAATGGTTTATTCTATGCCGTTGGGCATGAGCATCAACCATATGGGCTACAATTATCTCATTTGAGAAATTAGAAATTTCAATTAAGCATATTTAAGTTCCCTTTGCGGTATGAATATGTATACCTTTCTGAGGAATAAGATAAATCTTCCAGGTTTAGTTCCCCAACAAGATGATAGCATGAATCACTAAGAAAAAGGATACATTAGATCTTTAGCTCTACTGATTCAGTGCAATCCATTATCAAGACAGATTTTTACTCCTGAAGTGCTTATTAAATTAGTAACACACAAAACAAAGTAATTTAGCTTGTAATTTTTAGTAGTTGCACAATGGGATTCTGTTCTATACTTTTAGAAAAATCATTATTTTTACACATTTTAAGAACGTAAGTCTGGTAAGATTCTCTTTACAATAAATTCTCTTTACAATAAATGGTATCTTTTTCTCTCGCACCTGCATTAATAATACAAGTTTCCTCTCCTCTTTATTTTCAGCATCTCCCCAGTGTTCTTCTCTGAGAGTGTCAAAGTTAGTTTGCTAGCAGTAGATTATAAAGCAAACTAATCTCATCAGCACGAGGATGTTATTGGGCTCAAAATCTTGCCTGTCTGTGGACACATTTTTTGTCAGGGTCCTGCCATCTCTCTCTCCACAAATTTTCTTCTGCAGGCTCTTTGCTGAAATGAACAAGGCTACTCTGTGAAATGTAACATGCTGTTACATACTATTCTTTCCTGTTATATTTGCTTTACAGAAACTCTACAGGCCACATCAATTTAAACTATGAATAAACTCCATATTATCATGGAATGATAATTCAGGATATTTTTATTTTGTAGACAATTTCCCATCTATAGAAAATTAATATTTAATTTCACTGGGAAATGTTTAGTATAAGTATGTGTCAATTTGCCATTGTGGTGTTTTCTGTCAATTTCCTGTCCCCTGTGTTCTGAGTGATAGCATTGATGCATCAGTAGGACAAACCAAGGTACTCTGTTCAGCCCTTCAGGCAGCTAAACTGGAATCTTCCTGCAGTGAGATAACAGCCAGTACAGGCATGAGCACTAGCAGAGAACTGAGTTAGTTCTACAGTTTTAGAAATAGTGAACTCAGTTTTTTTTTTCAAGGAAAAGACAAATCATCTGTTAGTCATAGTCATAAACACGTGCAGGTCAAAATTAACTTTCTAAAGCTTCACCCTACACACCCCCCCAACACACACACACGCACACACACATGCACACGCACGCACACACAAAGCAGAGGACCAATTGAGGCAGTGTGAATGATACATGTGTTACTATCAATTTCCAATAACAAGATGTATCAGTAAGTTATCCGGATAGTGACCTCCCTTCACTTTCTTTTATCTGGTTAGATATAGCATTGGATGCTTTGTTAAAAAGGTTTTGTTTGGTTTTTTTCCTTCATCAGGTAGACTTTCTTCTACTCTTCCTTACATTTGGACACTGTCATGTTCTTAGACAAGAATATGACAAATACCCTTATTCAATTAGTTAACAAATCGCAGAGGTATATATGTAATAACATAGAGGGGATATCACCTCTATCAATTTCCGTGATTTAGAGTTGCTAGGTTTTATGGTGATTCCTGCGTTAACTTCAGATTTCAGCTGTCAATTTTATTTTACCTCGCTTCCATGTACACATTATTTCCGTCTGTTACAGCAGAGTGCCAATTATTTTGTACTATAGCTTGTTAGAATTTAGTAAACCTTAAGTATAGATGAAACTACACAAGGAGAAATGAGGATTTATGTGGCTTATGAGTATGTTTTAAGAAAAGCATACTAGACAGTTATAAAAGTAAGTTTATTTGCCTACATATCTTATTTGAAGTGATGAGGATTGCCATACAGTTTACAGAAACCACTGAAATTATTTCATTCAGTCCTGTGACTCTTGAAACAATTTGAGATAGTGATAAAATGCATGCACTATTTGCTATCCCTTCTCAGTGTGTTTGTTTCTAGTTGACTGTTTTTTTAATTGGAAATTGTTTGATGTGTATTTATCTTCTATTGATACTTGATGTGAATATTGTGATATTTCTTGTGCATAAAATGAGATGTTAGTTTAGGGATACATTTTTGAAATATTCTTTACCCTCAAGTATGTCACTGGTGTTTTATACCCCTTGGTATACCTGTTTTAATGGCTCCCCTTTTCCTCTTTTTATTATACTCTCAGGTGGCATAGCTCTCTGAAGTTTCCCATGATTTATATTCTCCCCAACAGTTATTGCTATGGCTGCTGCTATATATAGACCCCCTCATTCCCTAACCATGGTGCCAAACTGAAGATTTATATTGGATTTAAGCACAATACTAAATGCACCTTTATGTATATCTTCATGTGACCATAACTTTAGAACCAAACAGCAATATATGTGTTCTTACAAGTATAAAGATGATTTTTAGATAAGTAAAAACATATTTAATATAGGATTATTTTTGAAAAGCCAAAAGACAATGGATTTGAATATTAGATTGGATGCAAATTAGGTCCCAGGGCCCAATCTGGGTAATATTTAGTTTCCAAATGTAGAAATTCAAACTCAATTCCAAAATGATCTTTCATTACATCATTATATCAGTTAGACTCAAAGTGAATTAGCAGACATTTAAAAACCTTTTTATAAGAGTAGCTTTTTAACTTTGCTATAGACTTTTAATGAATCAACTTATTTTTTTACATCTTGATTTATAACTAGAATCTTTAGAAATACAATATTCTAAGAAATGATTGAGTACCCATTACCACCCATGGCCTAGCAGTTTAGGATGATCATCATTAGATAAATTAGGTTCCCAAATGCCATAAACTAGAGATAAATTGGAACTCAGAAACCATTTTACTTTTAACGTAATTTGATCTCAAATGGGTAATCTTAATGAGAGTATCAAAAGGATTCTTAAGAAGATTCCAATTAATTTACCATGTGAGCTGAAGGGGAATGAACTGCACTAACATGAAGCAAAAAAAAAAAAAAAGTAGAATTAATATAGCAAAAATTGTCATACTGCAAGCAATTACACTTATATTTTCAACAGAAAAATATTAGAAAACCTCAAGTGACTTGTTAGGGGGCATGACTATGGAACACATTTTTAATAATCAGAAATATAAGCCAAATTGCTTTTTTAAATTAGTATTTATTGGAAATAAATGTGTTGTCAGATAAAACTGGTTAAAAAAAAAAACTATCCCTGAAATGATTATTTTTTAGAAATCGTTCCTTGACACTTTCAGACCTGTCCTACACCTCAGAAACAAACACATTTAAAATTTAGCTATTTTATTTGGTAATTATCTCCACAGGTCAAAAGAATATCAATGTAGTGTTATATCTTGCTTAATCAATTTAAATCTTACCTGACAACTTCTTTCGTAAGATTTAATCATTTTGACTCAATTTTACCCTCTATTTTCCTCTCAATATAATTATGCCTCAATTTTTGCTTAAAAACATTGTGTTTCCATGATGACTTTTTAAATATTGTTCACTGCTGAGCCAAGAAAATGCATCTGATTACATTTACTTCCTCTACTTCTTTTTTTTTTTTTTTTTTTTACTGGAGTTAAGAATTGCCCCCTTTTGACTTGGTTTACTTTCAGCCTATGACTGTCACCCCAGAAAAGCTCTGTGAAATGCCTCATTTTTTCATATGATCATAGCCTTTATCTCATTTTCAAGCATATTTTATTTTTCTGAATACCTGCCTAGCGGAGACATTTGACCTCCTGCTAAAATATGTACTCTAGGCCTACTATACAGCTATCATATGGATACTTCCTTTTTGCCATGATCCTGGGATTTTTTTCACCTTTCTGCTGTGTTAGATCTCCTGTTGCCTGGATCACAGTTCTCTTCTCTCTTGGTTTATTTCCTTGTTTTGACAGAAATCATCCTTAGATAGCTTCCTGAAAAAGGTACAGGAGAGTCAAATTTTCTATACTTTGAAAGTCGAAAAGTACTTTTATTCTTCTCTGATATTTATTAGGTAATCTGAAGGGATGGAGCATTTGAAGTTGTAGATAGATTTTTCCTCAGAATTTTGAAAACATTATTCAAAATTCTTCTTGTTTCTACTGCTGCATTTGAGAATCTGTCATTCTGATTCACCATCCTTTGTACTGGACCTGCCTATTCTTTCAAATATTTTAGTGTTTGTCTCCTATTCACCCCGTTAATGAGGGAGGGTCTCACACTCTATGGCTACAGGGATGTCTGAACATATGACCTTGACACTGAGCAGAGGATATTAACAGGGTTTTATTAGTCACGTGTACTTACTGTCCAGGGGAGGAGGATACTTCAGGGAGGTGCACTTGGGTAAAGGGCAGGGGGCCAGGGGAGGCAGGCTTTGTAATACCAAGGGGTTGGGCTGCACTTCACACCTGTGGGAGGATGTGATTGGCTTGTCTAAATCCCCTGGGCTGACAGGGAACTGAACCCCAGGGATAGGTAGGAACTCTGCCCGATCTCTTTGATAAGGAGCGTTGTTTGGCTAGGGAACCTTCTCTGCAGGAGCAGAGTGGGGTGGGGAGCAGGCCATTGACACAGTCCAGATTTTACCGAATATTAAGGCAGTGAATAACATTAAATTGGGGACTTACACCCCATTTAGGAATTTCCTCTTACTTTCTATGTTCTAAAATTTTATGGTAAAATGTTTTAATAAGAGAGTCGTTTTCATTCCCTGTACCAAGCATTTTTTGGACCCTATCTCTCTGAAAAACCATGTACCTATTTCTGAGATTTTTATTTTAATGATTGGTTTCAGAAGTTCATTTCCTTTAGTTTCACTTTTCTGCTTTTGTTGAAGTTCTCATAGCCAGATTTTTGATTACTTCAGTTTCTCTACTAATTTTCTAATCTGTTTCCTCCTATTGAACATCATCTTGTCTTCTTTTTATTTTCCTGAGAGATAAGACTTGACTTTTCTTCCAAATATTTTTCTATTTTTATAGCTATTATATTTACATTTCCAAGACCCCTTTCTTTTTCTCTAAATGATATTTTAGTATTGTTTAATACTTCTCCAGTATCTCTGAAGGCATTATTAATATATATTTTTTCTTTCATCATTGTCACCATTTCCTTTTTTCCATTTGCTTGCTTTGTCTAAATCATTCATCCTTAAATGTTGGCAGCTCATTTATATTTACAAATGAGGTACTAAAAATTTATTGGAAGCTCTGTGTGCATTGAATTTACTGTAAAGCAGTCAGCTGTCCTGCCTGGGTGCAATAAATCTGGCTGCTGTTTTTCTGGATCTACTTAGGCAAAAGGTCAGGTAGTCCAAGATGAACCTAATGCACAAAATACATTCCACATTGTGCACCTACATTGGGTATAAAGCCTGGAGAAAAATATAGACTTTCCCCACCCCTACTTTTAATCAACTTTCCACCAGGCTCTCAGTTTTTGCACCTGTACCCACACTCAAACAGTATCGAGTATGTCAGATCCTGAAGCTTTCCAAAGGTTATGCTGGCTTTTCCATTAGCCTTCCCATTCCTTCACTCCCACTCCAACTTGAAGGCAGTTACGTATGACTTCTTCCTCTCTGCTCAGTCTTTCATCATTTATTCTTCTGCCTCATATATGCAAATACTGTGGGACAGGTTTGCAGATTTATCCTACTCCCATTGAAAATGGATTCTGGGGTGTATAGTCTTGAATTTTTCTCCTTTTTTGATTTTCTTATTATTAAGGGAAATATTCTTAAGGTTAAGATCAAGGGTACTAAAGCTCAAAAATACCTTTTTTGAGACATTCACAGAAAGATAGACAAAATGAAAAGGCAGAAGGCTATGTACCAGATGAAGGAACAAGATAAAAGCCCAGAAAAACAACTAAATGAAGTGGAGATAGGCAACCTTCCAGAAAAATAATTCAGAATAATGATAGTGAAGATGATCCAGGACCTCAGAAAAAGAATGGAGGCAAAGATCAAGAAGATGCAAGAAATGTTTAACAAAGACCTAGAAGAATTAAAGAACAAACACCTGGAAAAATTAAAGAACAAAGAAACAGAGATGAACAATACAATAACTGAAGTGAAAAATACACTAGAAGGAATCAATAGCAGAATAACTGAGGCAGAAGAACTGATAAGTGACCCGGAAAACAGAAAGGTGGAATTCACTGCTTCGGAACAGACTAAAGAAAGAATGAAAAGAAATGAGGACAATCTCAAGAGACCTCAGGGACAACATTAAATGCAACAACATTCGCATTATAGGGGTCCCAGAAGGAGGAGAGAGAGAGAAAGGACCCGAGAAAATATTTGAAGAGATTATAGTCGAATACTTTCCTAACAAGGGAAAGGAAATAGCCACCCAAGTCCAGGAAGCCCAGAGAGTTCCAGGCAGGATAAACCCAAGGAGAAACACACCGAGACACATAGTAATCAAACTGACAAAAATTAAAGACAAAGAAAAATTATTGAAGGCAACAAGGGAAAAATGACAAAAAACATACAAGGGAACTCCCATAAGGTTAACAGCTGATTTCTCAGCAGAAACTCTACAAGCCAGAAGGGAGTGGTGTGATATATTTAAAGTGATGAAAGGGAAGAACCTACAACCTAGATTACTCTACCCAGCAAGGATCTCATTCAGATTCGATGCTTTACAGACAAGCAAAAGCTAAGAGAATTCAGCATAACCAAACCAGCTCTACAACAAATGCTAAAAAGAACATCTCTAGGTGGGAAACACAAGAGAAGAAAAGGACCTACAAAAATAAACCCATAACAATTAAGAAAATGGTAATAGGAACATACATATCGATAATTACCTTAAACTTGAATGGATTAAATGCTCCAACCAAAAGATACAGGCTCGCTGAATGGATACAAAAACAAGACCCATTTAGATGCTCTCTACAAGAGACCCACTTCAGACCTAGGGACACATACAGGCTTAAAGTGAGGGGATGGAAAAAGATATTTCTTGCAAATGTAAATCAAAAGAAAGCTGGAGTAGCCATACTCATATCAGATAAAGCAGACTTTAAAATAAAGAACGTTACCAGAAACAAGGAAGGACACTACATAATGATCAAGCAATCAATCCAACAAGATATAATGATTATAAGTATATATGTACCCAACATAGGAGCACCTCAATACATAAGGCAACTGCTAACAGCTATAAAAGACGAAATTGACAGTAACACAATAATAGTGGGGGACTTTAACACCTCACACCAATGGACAGATCTTCCAGACAGACAGAAAATTAACAAGGAAACACAAGCTTTAAATGACATCATAGACAAAGTATATTTAACTGATACTTACAGGACATTCCATCTAAAAACAGCAGATGACACTTTTTCTCAAATGTGCATGGAACATTCTCCAGGATAGATCACATTTTGGGTCACAAATCAAGCCACGGTAAAGTTAAGAAAACTGAAATCATATCAAGCATCTTTTCCGACCACAATTCTATGAGATTAGAAATCAATTACAGAGGAAAAAAATGTAAAAAACACAAACACATGGAGTCTAAACCATACATTACTAAATAACCAAGAGATCACTGAAGAAATTAAAGGGGAAATCAAAAAATACCTAGAGACAAATTACAATGAAAACGTGATGATCGAAAACCTATGGGATTGCAGCACAAGCAGTTCTAAGAGGGAAGTTTATAGCAATACCAGCCTACCTCAAGAAACAAGAAATATCTCAAACAATCTAACCTTACACCTAAAGAAACTAGAGAAAGAAGAACAAACAAAACCCAAAATTAGTAGAAGAAAGAAAGAAATAAAGATCAGAGCAGAAATAAATGAAATAGAAACAAAGAAAACAATAGCAAAGATTAATAAAACTAAAGCTGGTTCTTTGAGAAGATAAACAAAATTGATAAACCTTTAGCCAGACTCATCAAGAAAAGGAGGGAGAGGACTCAAATCAATAAAATTAGAAATGAAAAAGGAGAAGTGACATAGGACACTGCAGAAATACAAAGCATACTAAGAGACTACTACAAGCAACTCTATGCCAATAAAATGGACAACTTGGAAGAAACGGACAAATTCTTAGAAAGGTATAAACTTCCAAGACTGAACCAGGAAGAAATAGAAAACATAAAGAGATCAATCACAAGTAATGAAATTTAAACTATAATTAAAAATCTTCCAACACACAAAAGTCCAGGACCAGATAGCTTCACAGGTGAATTCTATCAAACATTTAGAGAAGAGCCAACACCCGTCCTTCTCAAACTCTTCCAAAAAAATGAAGAGGAACACTCCCAAACTCATTCTATGAGGCCACTATCACCCTGATACCAAAACCAGACAAAGATACTACAAAAAAAGGAAAATTACAGACCAATATCAGTGATGACTCTAGATGCAAAAGTCCTCAATAAAATACTAGCAAACAGAATCCAACAACACATTAAAAGGATCATACACCATAATCAACTGGGATTCATCTCAGGGATGTAAGGATTCTTCAGTATATACAATTCAATCAATGTGATACACCATATTAACAAATTGAAGAATAAAAACCATGTGACCTTCTCAATAGGTGCAGAAAAAACTTTTGACAAAATTCAACACCCATTTATGATAAAAACTCTCCAGAAAGTGGACATAGAGGGAACCTACCTCAACATAATAAAGGCCATATACGACAAACCCACAGCCAACATCATTCTCAATGGTGAAAAACTGAAATCATTTCCTCTAAGATCAGGAACAAGACAAGGATGTCCACTCTCACCAGTATTATTCAACATAGTTTTGCAAGTCCTAGCCACGACAATCAGAGAAGACAAAGAAATGAAAGGAATACAAATTGGAACAGAAGAGGTAAAACTCATTGTTTGCAGATGACATGATACTATACATAGAGAATCCTAAAGATGCCATCAGAAAACTACTAGAGCTA